TATATATATATAAATTATATATATATATATAAATTATATATATATACATATAAATTATATATATATATATATATATATAAATTATATATATATATATATAATTTATATATATATATATATAAATTATATATATATATATATAAATTATATATATATATATATATATATATATATATATATATATATATATATATATATAATGAATATACATATATATAATGAATATATATATATAATTATATATATATGCTTATATACATATATATGTATGTATATATATACACATACACAAACACACACAAGAATAATATTGTCAAAATTCAGCATCAAATATTGCCATTATATATCACATTATAGCATTTACTATAAACAACAAGAGAGAGAGAGAGAGAGAAAGAGATAGGGAAAAGGAGAAAAAATAGTACAAAGAGAAAGTACAGAAGAGAAAAGTAACCGTAAAAATAAGAGAGAGAGATTCAGAGACAGAAGGGAACAAAAAAACCACGGAACGCCACATGCCTTGGGAATCTTGGCCGGAGGTTCCCAGTCTATGAGCTCGCAGTTCTTCTCGGGCTTGTACTTCTTGCTGCACGAGAAGGAGTGGCGCGTCATCTTGGATTTGTTGTTGTCCTCGTACGGGCAGAGTGAGCACTGGAAGAAGGCCGGGGCGCGCTCCAGGCGGCCCCTGACGTTGTGTTCCGCCTCCATGTGGAACAAGATTACCTGCGTGGGGGGGAGGGGGGGGGAATGGGCAAAAAAGGTTCAGGGTTAGGTCAAGAGTAGCTTGATATACATGTCCTTTTTTTTTTTTTTTTTTTTTTATACAATACTAATATATAAACAAATGTATTTCTTTTTTTATATCCACGTCTTTGCCATTCATATATTCTGAGAGAGATGCATAGGCTAATAGTATTAATTATACCAACAATAATAATACTGACAGAGTAACGATGGCTATAACAGTGCTACCCCCCGTTCCCCTACCCACCTGAGGTCCGCGGGTCTCGAAATCGCAGAAGTTGCACTTGTATGTGTAGTTGACCATGTGGGGAGACTCCAAGTGCCGGTCCATCACCATTTCACTCTCCGTCTTGAAGTTGCAGAACTTGCAGGTCTTGAGCGGCAGGTGTAAGTGCGCGTTCTTCTCGCGGGTGATGCCCAGCTGCTTCTCCAACAACTTCACGGACAGCTGTAGGGAGGGGGAGGGACAAGGGGTTAATTATATATGTTAACAGAGTAACTATTGCTTCTTCGGGATTTCAAAGAAAGAAAGAAAGAATAAAAAAAGGTAATGGTCTATGTTCTCCCGAATTTCAATTTATGGTCATCTGATTTTTTTGCACTTCTCTTTTATCCCTAATATTTCTAATCTTACCATGCTCCTCTTCCTCTAACCATTTCCAGTCATCATCTCTTATCTCTTATGATATTCACTCTAACAATACTAACCAAAGCAGAGGAAAACACTTGCAAATAATCAATTGCAAAACCCATAAACCAAATATATCGCATACAACCCTAATAAAAAAAGTTAAAAAATCCAACAGAAGAAACTCACAATGCCTTCCTTGGACGGAGATGTCTTCATCTTCTCGAGCTTCTTCTTTTGCATTCTGAGGAGGTCCGACTGGAGGAATTCCTGTGCCTGGTTGAGGCCGAGGTCCAGGAAGAACTTGCCGAGGGAGCTGCGGTAGTAGGGCTCCCACCTGCAAAGTCACGGGAAGAGGGGGAAGGGGGGAAGGGAGAGAGAGTCAGCAATGTTGTTGAAGAATTAAGGATACTTGCGAACATTTACGAATAATTAACGGGAAAAATTACTATGCGGAATTATTAACCCATTGGCACCAGATACATGTACTGTCTACTGTAGTTTTGTTGTTGTCCTGTCACTAAAGGGGTAATTAGCAGGCCCTGGGTGACATCTCCTATCCCCATTTCTTGAATTTTATGAGAATATCATTTTGATATCATTAATATTGATACTATCATTATCATCATTGACAATTTGAGCATTATAGCGCATCATAAAATAATACTAGCAACTTTTTTTCTTTTTTTTCAGAAAACTAAGGAAAAGGGTAAACAAATGATATAGATCAAACTAGCAATTGACTCCTTAATAACTAAACCTTTATGGAGTTCTCTGTGTCCAACCGAAATGAACAAACTAAAATCACGGTGGACATGGCGCACATGTACATGTCATCCCAGCCTCAATAGGTTTAGCTTGGCAAATCCTAAAAGATGATCAACTTGGGAAAAACTATTGTAGAAATACTGAGTGACTTGAGATAAATTATCATACAGAAACTGTGACAGGAAATCAATTATCTCAGAGAATTGTGAACTCTAGAAGATGGATCATGAAATACTATTAACTCGGAGAGTAACCCCGATGAAAAAATAATTAACTGATACTAAGAACCATAAAGAATTGTTAACTATAGCATTATTATAATAAGTAATGACTGACTTGATGTATAAGATCATAAGGAATAGTTAACTCAAGTGATTATCAAGAACGATGGCTGATTGCACAGGAAAGACTGACAATAATTAACTTCTGAATAACCATCCAAAGAAAATTAACTTAAAAGGTAATTAACAAAGCAAGGCAAAAAAACTCACTTTCCCAGATAGCTTAGATCTTCCTCCTTCTCCTTCTCCTTCTCTTTCTCCTTCTCCTTTTCCTTCTCCTTCTCATCCTCTTCCTTGCTCTTGTTCTCCTTGTTCTCGTCGTGCTTTTGTGCGTTCTCCTTCTCCTCTTTGGCTTTCTCTTCCTTCACCTCTGCTTTGGCGGGCTCCTCCTTCTCCTTCTTCTCCTTTTCCTTTTCCTTCTCCTTCTCCTCTTTTGTCTGATCTTTTGCCTTTTCTTCCTCCTTTGGCTTCTTGTCCTCTGTGTCCTTTTCACTCTCCTTCTCCTTCACTTCCCCATTCTCTTTCTTGGCTTCTTTCTCATCCACTTCCATCTTCTCCTCCTTATCCTTATCACTCTCCTTGTTCTCTTTTTCCTCCTCGCTTCCTTCGGTCTTTTCTTCCCCTTCCTTCTTCTCTTGTTCGCCTTCCTCCTCCTTCACACCCTCTTCCGCCTTCAGCTTCTCCTTCTCTGCCTTCTCCTCTTCCTGTTTCTTCTTCTCCTCTTCTGCTTTCTTCTTCTCCTCCTCTTCTTTCTCCTTCCTCTCAAACTCCTCCAGATCTTTGTTAATCCTCTTGAGGAATTTTTGGATTGGTTCCTGAATTGGGTATGAGAGAGGGGGTGAGGGAGTGTAAGAGAGGTAGAGAAAGAGAGAGAGAGAGAAAGAGAGAGAATTATAAAAGGTCTCAAAGTGTGTATAAGAATGTAAATTCAGGAAAAAAAAAAAAGATAAAAATAATAATAATAATATCGATGACGGTGACAATGATAATGGCCCCACACGGCAATAAAAGCGATCCGCAACGACGGTTGACAGTGACAAACAAATGCCCTTCCGACAGACAAAGAAGTTCTCACCCCACTGCGAATTTTCCCAGCTGTAGCTTAGACACGCATCCCTTAATTAACACTGACCTACCAGAACATCAGAGGAGTGTTCGAATAAAAGGAATCACAATGACAATGATCAATATTACTGAATAAAAGGAATCACAATGACAATAATCAATATTTACTCTTTATTGTACTATCTGATTTCCTATATGCCTGTTTCCATATATATCTCTTAAAATAGGCATACTCAAAATACATTTGACTTTTAGCTACATGAAAATTCCTCACCACAGAGGAAATTATAACAGGGGGGACTAAGCTGTTGATAACTCGGGGAAATCTGACTTTGGGAAATCTGACATACTACTCCTACTGGCTTTGCTATAAGCTTATTTTCCGTCCTTGCTATTGAGTTTGTTACAGGCATATATTCTAAGCCTTTCTAACAGTGACAAAAATCAATGGGGGAAAACACGTACGATTCAGGCTCTACTGTGAGAGATTTTTAAAAATTTTTTTAACTAGTGGACCCAAACTGAACAAACTATTTCTAGACATCCCCACTATGTACATTTAGCGCAAAAGTTACATCACACACATCTATTAACTGTATGTGATAACCCATATATATGTGTATCTATATGGATCTATACCTGTATCTATATCTATCTATCTATCTATATCTTTATACATCTATCAATCTATCTATATCTATATATATCTATCAATCTATCTATCTATCTATTTATCTATGTATATGTATGTGTGTGTGTGACTAGGAAATTTTGAAATTTTGAAATCTGTATACCAGTAATTGAGGTATATTCATTACAAGTCTATATATCAAAGGAGAAAACAAAACTAATATGGAGATACAAATACAAGGCTATTTACTCTACATGTTAACTAATTCATGTGAGACAAATATCAATCTAATCAAGAAAAGACAAAGCTACAAAAGTAATTTCTTATTAATTAAGTTCTACTACTGGCTAAGATGATGTCATGCTTACCCTTTCTTTCTCAACAGAGAGAGAGAGAGAGAGAGAGAGAGAGAGAGAGAGAGAGAGAGAGAGAGGAGAGAGAGAGAGAGAGAGAGAGAGAGAGAGGGAGAGAGAGAGAGAGAGAGAGAGAGAGAGAGAGAGAGAGAGAGAGATGGATGGATAGATAGATGGATGGATAGACAGATAGATAGAGAGAGAGAGAAAGAAAGATGAGAGAGAAAGAGTGAGAGAGAAAGAAAGATGAGAGAGAAAGAGAAACCATTTCCCAACTCTACTGTCTAAACAAACTCCCAGTACCAACGAGAAATTTACAAGAGAGCTCATACCCCGAGCACCAACACCAAAACCCACGTTGGTGGACGGCTCAGCATGTCAGGTGAAAGAGTGAGAGTATTGTACAACATGACAAGGAGGAAAACAACTGCGACTGAATGAATGCCCCCTTTTTGGTGTCTGGAAAACCACAGCTACATGAACATGCACTTGTGAAAGACAATCCAAGAGTAAATTTGTGATGACGCAGTGGCTGGTCATTTTTTCCAGTGCTACACACAAATGCGCACACACAGAACAGGAGTATCGAAAGTTGTTATTAATCAGTGGGAGGGAAAATATTTCAAGGAAGTACAACCCATCATACCATATTATTATATCAAAACTACAAGGAAGAAACACAAACTTAGTTAGATGTTCTCATAGTAAGACAATAATAGAAAGAATTTTAAAAAAAGAATAATTGAAAGAAAGAAAGAGAGAGAGAGAGAAAAAGAGAAAGAGAGACAAAGTGAGAGAGAAAGAGAGAGAGAGAGAGAGAGAGAGAAGAGAGAGAGAGAGAGAGAGAGAGAGAGAGAGAGAGAGAGAGAGAGAAATAGAAAGAGAGAGTGAGAGAAAGAGAGAAAGAGAGAAAGAGAGAAAGAGAGAGAAGAGAGAAAGAGAAAGAAAAAGAGAGAAACTAAAAGAACTACATTCTATGAGAACCAAAACAACACCAGTAACCTGATTTGTTCCTCAATCAAGGCATGCCAGTGCTTTGTTCCCATGCACCGATTTGGATAGCCCAGCCCAGGCCAGGTATTCAAATCCAAGTCAAACTTTTTGCCAAACGCAGAACAGATATGAAAATACACATGTGCAGTAATGTATTTTTTTTTTTCTTTATATTTATTTATAGATTTTTTTTTTTTTCTTTCCTTTATAAGTATCTGTTTTTCATTAAGGACAGGCCAAAAGAAACAAAACACGAGGGTCCAGAACCAACAGCAAAAGTAATTCAAATCAATAAGAGAAAGACAGTAAGAGACTTTCGGAAAGTAAGACAAAAATAACAATCCAGGTAGAGAAACAAACAGAACCAAAAAAGAAAAAAAAAAAAAAGGAGAGGGGTAATCAATGAACAAGAGAAAGAGAGAGAGAGAGAGAGACAAAGAAACATACAAACAAACAGAGAGAGAGAGAGAGAGAGAGAGAATGAAAAAAATTATAAACAAGAACTAAAAACAAACCAAAACAAGAATACCGAGCCCATGCAAGCACCGCCACCCAGGATCCTTTCTTCTTACCTTCGGCTTCCCCTCCATGACGTAGGGCACAATAAAGGAAGGCGCCTCAATCACGTAAGCGTCGTCCTGCAAATGACCTAAACTGTTGTAATATTGCTGGAGCTGAGCCAGATGCTGCGAGTTCATAGGGACCTGCCCGCCCTGAGCCAACAGCACCTGCAAGAGGCGGGGCAGGGGTAGTACACGGTTAGGGTCGCATGTTCTGGCAGTCATCGCAACGGCTCGCATGTCATATAGATAGGGGGGGGAGGGGGGGGGAGTTTTGGGAGGAGAGAAAGATAGAGAGAGAGAGAAAGTAGGTATGGGGGTGCCTTGTTCAAACTGGTCGACTGCACTCTGAGTCAGTCGGCCAGCCAGAAGCAAAAAGGCCCTTACTGCGGACTTTATTTTTTATTTTTTTTAAAGCTGCGCAGGACAGTTAAGGTGGTGAGGGAAAAGGGGGGGGGGGGGGGGGAAGAGACTATATACTATACCTAACTAAATGCTAAGAAAAGATTGAATGAGAGAGAGAGAGATTGAGAGAGACACTTACTGTATGTAAATGAAACCTAAATATGATATTTAAGAATACATCTACATGATTTCATAGATTAATCATTTTTAAACTTTAAGTGAAAGTACTCCTAACAACTCCATTATAATCATACACTTAAAACTTATAAACTCTTATTTCTAAATTGCACAGAAGTCTAAATTACATCTGCGTGTATGAGTACGAGTTTAAGTGTCAGTACGAGTGTGTGAATGAGTATGTATGTACATAACATCTGTGTATGTCCTTGTACACACGCTGGCTGTAATCGTGTGCATCTCAAGTGTATGTGCATGTCTTATCATTTACACACAAGGCATCCACACACCCAAACACCCTCCCAGACGGGCTTGAGTGACCAACCCAGCCTGGCTATGCACTGACCTGCTGGAGAGCCGTGATGTAGGCCGACTGTAGGCCCTGTGCCGGCACCCCCCCAGTGATGGCCTGAATGGCCGTCTGGATATTGACATTGGACACTGTGGGGGTGTGGGGGGAGGAGGTCTGGGTCACAGTGGACACCGGCGTGCTCGTGGACTGAGCCACGGCGGCGGCGAGGTTGCCCTGGTTCTTCAGCAGGGTGTTGGTGTCGATGATGATGACGTTGGGGTCCTTCTTGACCTGCAGGGAGGGAGGCGAGGCTTTATTGTCACGTCCATGGAGAGTCTGCGTTTGAAACATATGTCCGTGTTAATAGGGGGATCATAAAGCCAATCATTCTGTCAATATCAGGTCAAATTAAAAAAAAAAGTAATAAGTCAGTATTCTCATGAATGCAACTGCAGTGAAAATAGCTACAGAACATTAATATTAAAATTTTGAAAAAATCAGCAAAGCTTAAAATTAGGTTTGTCATGTTAAAGAGCAATACATATATATTTCTTCACTAAACAATAGGTTCTGAATCCTTGGAAACAGTCAATGTTAATTCAAAGTCTGTTATAATAACAAATAACATGTCAAGAGAAAACATCAATAAAAGTAACAAGAAGAGCTAACCTCCCCCCCCCCTTCCCAGCCTAAAATTCCCATATCGAACTGCCCAAAGCTACACATTAGTCTCAATCTCAGCAACGGACGCAGAGGGACTCGTGGCTCCACAAATAGACTTTCCTTTTGTGACGGCATAAACCTACACTAATCCTTCCATGAATAAACAGAAAAAAACACTTACACAAAACGAATAATGGAAAACAGAGATTTATAAATATTGAAATGATCTAAATCTGGACTTATATACTTCAACCCATATGCAAAGAGTGTGTAATTGCTATTTTCATTGATGAAAATGGTATAAATTCAAGTTTGCCAAAAACACAAGTCCATTTAACATTTAGTCTAATAAATATGCAAATATGAAAGACAAAATTAAAACATTAAATAAATAAATTGCTGATTCCAAACTCAAAAAAGCTATTGACAAAAAGACCCCCCCAAAAAAACTATACCAACTAATTCATAACAATGATAAAGAAAAGACATACAGCTGATCTTACACACACACACACACACACACACACACACACACACACACACACACACACACACACACACACACACACACACACACACACACACACACACACACACACACACACACACGAAGATTAGTATCGTACGCACTAGAGCAGCAATGATTTAATTCTCAACCTCACTACCTATAGTACAAAATCCTATAGTCTGCTCCCACATCATCATATAAACAACATTCTAAGGACAAAATGGCCAAGGTAGGTATTCTAGTGTCGAAAAAAATAAACTAAATCTTACTGGTATCATTTATGTCAGACTTTATAGACCTACTAGATGCATATTCTAAATTTCTTTCTCATCCTGCTGGTTTTTTGTTGTTTTTTTGAGGCAAGGGGTATGCAGCTTCCTTTCTAGATTCAAATAAAATGCCAAAATTACATACAGGCAGGCATCAGCCTCTAAAATTCATCTTGGGGAAAGTAAGGATGAAACATTTACTAAATCCTGTTCTCTATACAAACAGATTAAATCAAACTATATCCAAGATCATCCCATGGAAGAGCTAAATAGGTCAAGTTATCAAAACCCTTATTTACACAGTTTCTTCCCTTCTTCTCCCCTTCCCTCTCTCTTTCTCTTCCCTCCTTCCCTCTCTTTCTCTTCCCTCCTTCCCTCTCTCTTTCTCTTCCCTCCTTCCTTCACTCTTTCTCTTCCCCCATTCCCTCTCTCTTTCTTCCCCCATTCCCCCCCTCTCTCTCTCTCTTCAACAAGAGGTCTGATGCTCTATTAAGTTGCTGTACTTCTAGAGTTAAACAAAAACTGAAAATATGAAAATAAATAAATAAAAGAGAGATACAAAAGAGAGAGAAAGAAACAATATCCTAAGGCATGGAAACATCAGACCAAAATCACAGTAAATACATAGAAACATTCATGATACTGCCAATTTGTACATGCTTCAAATATAAATACTGTCTTGCAGGATAAAATATAGTGCAATATTCCTATTTAAAGGGAAGCTGAAGAGGGTGCCATGCTTTCACATGAAATTATGTAATAGTGACATACTTTAGAGAATATTCATATCATATCTTTTAATAATTTTTGGAATTAAAAACATATACTTCACAAATAGCGCTACTTATATGCAAACACACACACACACACACACATACATGAAAGGTTTTAATTTTTGCCCCCCTGTCATTTTCATAAAAACCCTAAGAGGTTTACCAAGCTCCATTTAGACACTTCATTATCATTTTTGAGTCCTTTATCTCATACAACATTCATATTGTCCACATTCCAGACCAAACCAAACAATATACTTGATGTAGAAAAAAATCAAGAGCTATAAAAGGTAAACCTATTGCTACAAGTGTTAAACATCACCCTAAGAACACTCCTACATAACATGTCCTGACAAGTAGTGGAAATGCCCCTTACAAATAATCAGAAAACAATTCCATAAATGTGTGTTCACTTTCATTTTCCTTCATGCCTTATACAATGCTGCTTATAATGATACTGGAAGGTGATTATTTGGATATCTGTCACATATGAAACACAGCCATTTTCCTCTCTAACAATAACAATAGTACTGATAACAATATCAACTGTAAAAGCAGCAAAAGTGCAATAATGACAATGATAACAATAACAAAACATCAACACTAATAATGATAATGATAGATAACAAAATAACAATGGAAAATGGCAAAACAATCAATCTTTTGATAATAGGCAAGAAAATTCCACTAAACAGCAAACATTTCCAGTAAATCTATTTATAATTAATAATAGAATAAAAGAAAGAAAGAAAATTGAGTCTACATATCAAGTTCTTGTAAAGCAGCATGTCATTTCAGACTTCAGAAAGCTCAAAACTTTCCCTTAAAAACATTTCGCACCTGGACAGCAAAAACAAATTCATAAACGGTATGTGCAAATTATCCTTTTCTGCTAATGTTTCATTTGTCAAAACCGACACAATTACCACTGCATATAAAAGCAATTTTCATTTTCACCTAAACCTGAGGTTATCATTATCATCATCAATTAAAATTCTATCTATCTATCTTGGTAGTAATATGTCCTTTTTATTTCCCATGTTATTTCCTTGTAAACAAACCGACAATCATTTCTGAAGGAAGATAGAGCAATACAATAACCCACTATACATCAATGTGTTTTTAATCTTAATAAATCGGCTCCAAAACCTTCCAAAAGAGTGACCAAAGACCAAAAATACTCCCTTCCATCAGCTGACTGGCCACCTGATCCAAGACAAAAACAACCCAATGCCTTTCCCCATTCAGACATAAACAAGACATATTTCTCTGAATAACCTTCTCACATAAAATTCCAACATATTACTCTTAGCTCATTTACATAAGTAGGAACTATCCTGTCAATATCAACTTCTCCCTTGATAAAATGCAAGAACACAACATCAAACAGTTTCTTTTACTGTGGTTTAATAAATCATCTGACAAACTTTCGACAAATAAATAATACAGGCTACAGGGCAGGTTCTTACGAGCTCTGTCAAGTTCAACTGGAGTATTTGGCGATATTCTTTGATCTTCTATAATCACGGCTTATTTATTATCCCTAAATCTTATAAATGACTGGTAGAATTTATTTGGATAGTATGTGAATTTCAACAGCCATAAACAGTTACCAAAAGTACAAAATATGCTCCTGACATAACAGTCTAATAAAGCTAGCAACCAAACTATTGCATATCATCTCATAAACACCTCAAAAAAAAGTAGGCCTAAACAAACTCATCGATTCAATCAATCTCCTCCCTTCATTCACCAAACATCTTGCAACCAAAAGGAAGATTCAAGAAAGGAAGAAAAGTACTAAACAAGAGTGTTAGAAAACAGCTGATGTAAACAAAACAGGGCCACGCGATTTCACATTTCACATGAACCAAACTCGAGCGAAACATGTTCACCCCATTACTCCATACAGACTACCAATTCCACGCCTATTAATGCATAACTTGCCACAATACCATTATCCCTCTTTCATACAGGGTGCTATTACACACAGTGACATCACCTCCCCACCCCCTCTTCCCCTCCCCTACCTGTGACTCACACCCCCACTAACTAGCACACTACATTCTCACTACTTTACAACAAAACATGTTTTTTTTCTTCTTCTTCTTTTCCACTTTCTTTTTTCCACACAAGTGTTCTTCGCTAAATGGAGTACAGTGCGGCTAAACTCATAAAACTCCTTGGTAAGTGATGATTTTGACAATTTGATAATAATTGTAAAAGCCCAAGTAAGATCAGTAATATTAGGAAGAACAAAAAGAAAAATAATAACAATAACAATAATAATATAATAATAATAATAATAATAATAATAATAATAATAATAACAATAACAATAATAATAATAACAATAATAATAATAATAACAATTTGTTCCATAACATGAGAAAGATTAAGAAATACAAGCTATTATGGCAAGCAACAAGTGTAAAAGATAACATCTAATACAATCTTACAACAAAAGGATGGCAATGTGCCGGTGTTATCTCTGGACACGCATAATCAACTCCATCTAGCTATCTGCTGATCAATTTCTAATTTTATCGTTCTCCCTATATGTGCTCGAGCTATATAATTAACTAATGATGTAAAAAAAAACAAGCCTGACTCTAAGCCTAGGCAGAAAGTTTACCTAAAGATCGTAATTTTCACTTCTGGAACATGTGACTGATTCTAGGCCTATGAGGGCATGACTGGTGATACTAATTGTACTAACAATGAAATAAATACTGTAACTGGTGCAGATAAGGTCAAAACTAATAAGAATAACACTGATGAACAAGGTGACTATGAACATTGTGACTGCTTTTATCATTAACAACTACTAATGATACAACCACTATTAATACTTGTCTACTTTACAACTGATAGTAATAATAATCATAATCATAATAATAATAACAATAATAATAAATACAATAATAATAACAACAACAATAACAATAACAATAATAATAACAATAAAAACAATGTAACAAATTCAAATATGTTGTAAAATCTGTTTTAATAAGAAAAAAATTCTCTTGTTTCTTAGGCTTAAAATGATAACAAACTAACTATAACAATCATAACCTAAGATGCTTAACTAACTAGGACAAAACTAACATTTGGAGATTATTATTAAAGAAATAGAGAGAGAGAGAATGACAATTATGGTGATGATGACACTAACAACCACAGGACTGTAATTAGTGATGAAATGTAGTAATTGGGCAATGGTAATGGTAGTGATTAAGATAATGATGGTAACTAGAGTGATAATATTTCTAAAAAATATATATAAATAGGATATCTCATATCAACAGCTTCAGCAAAACAATAACAAAAAGAATAACAATCAAAACAATATTGATAAGCAATGACAAGTAAATAATGATGGGAAAATTGCTAATAGCAACAATAATAAGAAACTAATACTTCCTTTTTGTTTTTTGTAAATAACAATGTAAAAAATTTAAATATCAACATCTTGAAAAAGAATAGAAACAATATATGCAACATTAAGATTAATAATAACAGTGTCAATCGAAAGAGTATTAATGACAGTAATGATAATAATAATAATGATGATAAAGTCAACAGCAACAAGAACAGGACTCATATTACAATTAAAAAAGAGTAACAATAACAGCATCAAAAAATATAAATAAACAACAATACAAATAATAAATTAAATAACATCAACAATTCATAAGAACACGAACATTAATAACCCCACCAAAATGACAATACTAAAAACAACAAGAAACAGGTCCCACAAATCTTCAGAAACGATGAAAAAGTTTATTTCCCCCATGATCAAATTTACACATTGAAAGTTGCAAAGTTTACAGGGGGGGGGGGGGTCCTCCTCGGAACATCAAGGCCGAGTGAAAGATAAACAGCGAACGTCTCTGTGATTGAGTTATGATTATCGACTGTTGGTGTCCTTTTATCGGAGACGCTCGGGGTATAAATAGTAGTTCCGTGTTCGAAGATAAACTCGCATGTACGCATACAGGAGCAGATAAAGAAACAGAGACACACACATACACATTTATGAATGCTGAAAAGGCTCATCCAATTAACTGATTCTTCAATCTGACTTGCACTCACACTCACTCAACCCAGCTGAGTCATTCCCAGCCCATTCACTCACTCTCTTCCACTCACTCGACTCTCACGACTCACACAGTCGACTCATATTATAACTCTCATTTTATTGAAGGCTTTATGTATCTTTCCTTAGAAGATTCCTCTAACCCCTTTGGCTAATGAACTTTGTAGCTGAGTGAATAATTATCTCGTCTTACCAGCTCTTCTCTTCCTAAATATCTACTCCCACCTTCACCATTCCTAACCCCCTTTCCAACCAAAGAGGAAAAACAAATATAAAATAAACAGCAATATTAATGACAATGACAAAGACAATAATAATAATAATAATGGATACTTTTCTTACCTCCTTCTTGTCCTTCTGTTGGGCCTTCTTGACATCGGCGTCGGAGATGGCGAGGGGATCGCTCTCTTCGATCATCTCGATGTCGCTGCTGTCGTCCTTGATCACCTCCTCGGTGATCTTGACGTCGTCGTCGTCCTCCGTGTACTTCTTGGGGGTCTTGCGGACTCTCAGTTGCCGCGTGGCCAGGGGCTCCTCCTTCACCTCCTCCACCTCCTTCGAGCCCTTGTCCCTCTTGCCGTCCTTCTTGCCGGCCCCCTCTTTGGCATTCTCCTTGTTGCTGCTGCTGCTACTGCCACCCCCGCCACCCCCACCGCCACCCCCGCTGTCACTTTTGCTGGGTTCTTTCTTCTTGTCCGCACTCGCGTCACTCTTTCCCTCGCCCTTCTCTTTTTCCTTCTCCTTCTCCTTCTTCTCCTCCTCCTCCTCCTCCTGCTCTCCCTCCTTCTCTTTCTTGTCCTTGTCCGCCGGCTTTTCCTCGGCTTTGTCTTTGCTCGCCTCACTGTCCCTGTCCACCTCCATGGCCTCCTCCTCCTCCTCCTCCTTGCTCTCCTTCTCACTCTTCTTCGTCTGCCCCTCCCCACCCTCTTTCTTGTCTTCCTTGTGTGACTCTTTCTTTCCTTCACTCCCTTCCACCTCTTTCTTTCCATCAGCCTCTTTGGTCTGTCCTTCCTCTCTCTTCTCCTCCTTTGCCTTTCCCTTTGCCTTTACCTCCTCCTCCTCCTCCTCCTCCTCCCCTTTCTTATCTACCTCCATCTTCTCCTCCTCCTCCTCCACTTTCTTCTCCTTTTCTCTGTCCCCCTCTTTCTTTTCCTTATCATCCTCCATCTCCTCCATGTGATCATTTACTTTACTGTCCCCATTCTGTTCCACTTCGCTCACTGTTTCTTCTTCCTTCGCCACGTCTCCATTTATCTGTGGCTTCTCCGAGTCCCCGTTCTGCAGTCTGACCTCCGTCTCCTGCTCCACTTCCTTCACGCCGTTTATCGCCTTTACTTTTTCGCCTTCTGTTGTGGAAGATAACATGGGATTAAAAAATAGAAAGAAAGAAAGAGAGAGGAAACAAAAGGAGGAGAAGGGAATCAACAAAAGTTCAAGCTATTCAACTTTCTACTTTTTTTTTCTATTTCTTTACGTTATTAATCTTTTCTAGTTACTGTCTTCATTTTTTAAAGCATTTCCTTATTATCAATTTATATTTCCTATACCTCTTTTCTTTTCCTTTTTCTTTTCTCTCTCTCCTAACTTTGGCAATGATGCACTCAACAGGTTTGCAATGATTGGCCAAATGCAACTTGTTCAAATGACAGTGTTTATTTCAAAAACCTGACATCATAAACAACCTGTCAGTTATAAAATATGTATCATCACTACCAAACTGTCAAACTGTCACCAATCATCACCAATCTATTAAGGGCATCTTTGTTTTAATAAAGAAAAAAAAAAAGT